GGTGTCGCAAACCATTTTTATATGTCGCAAATATGGTTGCAACCATCACCAAGAATTGCGACCAGCATCTATAATTTAATCAAAAAGGTTTGATAAGATCCCTTTTGATTTTGATTATTATTAGACAAAATCCTTGTTAATAAATATAATTAATCGATTAAAATTTATTATTACATTAGAAATTCAAACCATTATTTGTGCAAATATCAGTCCTTTAAATCCAATGAAAAATTCAAATTACCATTCATATATTAATCATGGAGTAATTAATGTGGATGCATTATCATGTATTTCCGTGAGAACATTTTTTCCTTTACAATATTGTTTATATATATATATAAGTATAGAAATAAAAGTTAAATTAAATCTACCCTATTTATATGAAGTCATATATTTAAGTGGATAAAATTGGCAGAGAATTTTTGAGCCTAAAAAATTACTATTAGACCTTCAATTAGAATTATTCGGGGGCCTGTATGTATATTGTAATGACGCAAGAATAATAATAATCATGGCAAGTTATAATTTGAATTTGAAATTTCACTTAATTAAACTAATTATTATTCCGTATATTCTCTTTCAAAATAAAAATGCCTCTTCTTTTTTACAAAATGAAAAAAATCAAATTGTCTTTACATGAGTTGTGTTAATGTTTTTCGAATTTTGATTCTGAAGTTAACTACGTGTAATAGTAATACGCAATAATATTAATAATGTGCTTGAGCTGTCTTTAGTGTCTGAACTTGAAACACACATAGGCTGGTCAATGTTGGTACGTAGAATGACTTTTACATAGTACACGAGATGAGGTTTAGGTAAAGTTTTAAAAGTGATAAAAACAGTAAACAAAGAAAAAGAAGAATGCTCAAATTCTTTACTGTTGAAGCATTAGAATAACGATGAATTATTATTGGTGGTGTTAAAGTTATTCTTTAAATAATGCAATTATTTATATTGATATATAGGAAAATCAAACTATTTAGAATTATTCCATCAGATTAAGAAAAAGGAAATAATGTAACCGTTACATTCAAATTTTCTCCACTAATACACAAAGTTTTATATTTTGTATTTTATATTTTTACATAATGTCATATTATAATTTATTATCATCAGGAAGAGAGTATTTTGTATCTAAAATTAATGCTGAAATGCGTAATAATGCAATGGCTAATACTGATGATGATGAAAGTATGAAAGATTATTTTTTTTCATTAGTCAAAGAAAACAAAGAACTTTCTGAAAATGAAAAAGAATATTGCAAAGAAGAGTATATTTATGAGGTTGAATTAGCAATTGCAAGAAATAAATCAGGCAAACCAAAAGAGTGCAACCAATGTAGATTGACAAGATATTCAGATAGATTCTGTGAAGGTTGTATTAGTTTACAATTACAGAGTCTTTTTGCCACTTGGACGTCTGGAAATAATATAGTCGACAACTTTATTCAACAATGTCAAATGAAATCATCTCTGCCAGAATGTATTTTAGAATGGATACCTTTTGAGCAATTTGATGATATAACAAAGTTGACAGAAGGTGGATTTAGTTCGATTTTTACTGCCACATGGACAAGAGGAAAGATTTATGATTACGACGAAAATAAAAAGGAATTTAGTTACTATGGTGATCAAATAGTAGTATTAAAAAACTTAAATGATTCAAGTGATCCAGGAAAAGGCTTTTTTGATGAGGTTGGTAGTTGTCATTTAAATAATACAGTATTATATAATACTAATTGATTTTATTTATTTTCAGGCAATGAATTATTGTAAAATTAAATCACCAGTGATGGTTGATTGTTATGGTATAACTAAATTCCCAGATAATGGAAATTATGCAATGGTTTTAAATTATTTACCAGATGGAAGTTTAAGGGGTTATTTACAAAAAAATCATTTAAATTTAACATTAAAAGACAGAATTACAATCTTTATGTATTTGTGTGCTGCATTACATTTTATACATCAAGAAGATTTAATCCATTGTGATTTACATAGTGGTAATATATTAATAGAAGGAGGTAATTGTTATATTACAGATTTAGGATTATGTGGACCAGTTGATGAAAAATCATCAGATAAAGTCTATGGAATTGTATCGTATGTTGCACCCGAAGTACTTAGAGGCAAAAAGAATACCAAAGAATCAGATATCTATAGTGTTGGAATGTTAATGTGGGAAATATTTGCAGGTCATCCACCATTTGATGATAGAGCTCACAATCATCGTTTAATTTTTGATATATGTGCAGAAGGTTTACGGCCACCAATATTATCTGGAATGCCTGATGATTATGCAGAAATCATGCAGAAGTGTTGGGATGTGGATCCATCAAAAAGACCAATTATTGATGAGCTTCATGACAATAAAGAAATCAATTCCGTTTTTTTTAGTAGCAACCAAGTATCTTTACATTTTTCAAAGAGACATGCATTTCGGCTTTTTTTTTTGACAATAAAAATCAATTCTTAGTAACCTTTATATTCTCAAAAACGACATGTTGGCTTTTTTTTCTTGGGTAACAAAGAAATCATTCCGTTTGTTTTTTTGTGGTGATTATGTAACTTTAAGTTTTCAAAAAAGGCTTTTGACAATAGAGAAATAAATTATCGAAAAGTGTTGTTGTCCAAAAATATTTAAATATTATAAATTTGTTTTGCTTTTTTTTAAATTCGTAACATCAGTTCCTTCAAAAGTTTATTTTCCAATGTTAGAAATCACATAACACCTAGTAGAAATACATTGTCACCTGATTTTGTTTCCAAATTATTTCTTAAAATGAAATTAATGTATTCAGTTTAATATTAACTGTTATTGTATCGTATTTTTCGAATATCTTGTCGATCGCTTTATTAATGTCATTATATACAAAAGGAAATAATATAAAAGATGGTTCATGCGGCATATAAAATGAAAATTGAATTGCGGCTAACTGCGGTTCCATCTTTTAAATATAAAAGAATTAATGTTGTTATTAAAAAAAAAATTTTTTTTTCTCCACTTTATTCATTAAAATACCAAGTCATATTTTAAAATTTATAAAAACATTTTATTTTTATATAATGTCATTTAACAAATTATTATCTTCAACATCATCAGAAAGAAGGAACCTTGTATTTAAAATTAACAATGAAATGCATAATAACGCAGGGACTAATTCTGACATAGAAAGTAGAAAAGATTATTTTTTTTCATTGGTCAAAAAAAATGAGGAACTTTCTGAAAATGAAAAAGAATACTGCAAAGAATACTTTATTTATTATTTTGAATTAGAGAAAGCAAAAGATGAATTGGGCCAACCAAAAAAATGTAATGGGTGTAAATTGACAAGATACACTGATAGATTCTGTGAAGTTGCATTAGTTTACAATTACAGAATCTTTTCACCAGTTGGACATCTGGTAATAACATAGTTGATAACTTTATTCAACAATGTCAAATTAAGTCATCTCTGCCAACTCTTGTTATGGAATGGATACCTTTTGAGCAAATTGAACAAGTAACAAAGGTAACTGAAGGTGGATTTAGTTCAATTTATACAGCTACATGGACAAGAGGTTATATGACTGATTATGATGAAAATAAAAAGGAGTTTATTTATTTTGGAAAACAACTGGTAGTATTAAAAAGTTTAAATGATTCAAGCAATCCAGGAAAAGGCTTTTTTGATGAGGTTGGTAGTTGTCACTTAAAACTAAAATGCAGTAATACTGTATTATATAATTCTAATTTTTTATATTTATTTATAGGCAATGAATTATTGTAAAATTAAAACCAATTTAATTGTTAATTGTTATGGTATAACTAAATTCCCAGATAATGGAAACTATGCAATGATTTTAAATTATTATCCAGAAGGAAATTTAAGGAATTATTTACAAAAAAATCATTTAAATTTAACATTAAAAGACAGAATTACAATCTTTATGTATTTGTGTGCTGCATTACATTTTATACATCAAGAAGATTTAATCCATTGTGATTTACATAGTGGTAATATATTAATAGAAGGAGGTAATTGTTATATTACAGATTTAGGATTATGTGGACCAGTTGATGAAAAATCATCAGATAAAGTCTATGGAATTGTATCGTATGTTGCACCCGAAGTACTTAGAGGCAAAAAGAATACCAAAGAATCAGATATCTATAGTGTTGGAATGTTAATGTGGGAAATATTTGCAGGTCATCCACCATTTGATGATAGAGCTCACAATCATCGTTTAATTTTTGATATATGTGCAGAAGGTTTACGGCCACCAATATTATCTGGAATGCCTGATGATTATGCAGAAATCATGCAGAAGTGTTGGGATGTGGATCCATCAAAAAGACCAATTATTGATGAGCTTCATGATTTTGCTTATAATAAAAATAAGGAAATTCGTGAAAATAATAATGGTGATAATAATACCAGTAGTAGTATTATCAGTGGTATTAGTAGTAGTGATTCGCAACAAGTACACAAATCACATCCAGATGCGTATCACAAAAGTAGAATTTTGGATGAAGAGATTGCTAAATCTAAAAGCTTAAAAATTTACACAAGTAATAGTTCATTAAATGACCTTGATTGTAACTCTTTTCTCTAAAATGTTAACAAAGGTGAATAAAAATTCATTATTAATTAATTAATTGGAAATTACTATCCATTAATTATTATTACTAACAATTTGATTGATTAATAAACATTAGATTCTAGTGATAATAGTAAAAGAAGGAATTGACGGACGGATGGCTAATTTAATCTCCACTATAAAATTATTCATTATCTATTTTATCTTTTTATTTTTATTTCATTCTTAATAAACTTTTTATATTCTTTTGTTCTTGTTAAACGGTGATATTGCGAGGTATCTTTTCGGTTAATGCTGATTATGGGTTACTCTTGTCGGTTAATTGCAACCAATGCACAATAATTCGGCTGTCAATTAATTAGTCTACTAATTTACTTTGGTTTTTGTTTATATTTATTGGCCAATTGCAAACTCTCTTCAATTTATTTGCGAAGCAACTTAAGTATCTTGTTTAACAGCCTTACGTTTATGATTACAATAATAATACCAGTATTTTCAATTAACCATTGGACGACACTTTATTAACACTCACTAGGGGTTATTTGCAAAAAACCATTTAAATTTAACATTAAAAGACAGAATTACAATCATTTATTGTTTGTGTTATGCATTAAATGATATACATGAAAAAGATTTAATTCATTGTGATTTACATAGTGGTAATATACTTATGCAAGGAGATAGATGTTTTATTACAGATTTGGGATTATGTGGACCAGTTGATGAAAAATCATCAGATAAAGTCTATGGAATTGTATCATATGTTGCACCCGAACTACTTAGAGGCAAGAAGAACACCAAAGAATCTGATATCTATAGTGTTGGGATGTTAATGTGGGAAATATTTGCAGGTCATCCACCATTTGATGATAGAGCTCACAATCATCGTTTAATTTTTGATATATGTGCAGAAGGTTTACGGCCACCAATATTATCTGGAATGCCTGATGATTATGCAGAAATCATGCAGAAGTGTTGGGATGTGGATCCATCAAAAAGACCAATTATTGATGAGCTTCATGATTTTGCTTATAATAAAAATAAGGAAATTCGTGAAAATAATAATGGTGATAATAATACCAGTAGTAGTATTATCAGTGGTATTAGTAGTAGTGATTCGCAACAAGTACACAAATCACATCCAGATGCGTATCACAAAAGTAGAATTTTGGATGAAGAGATTGCTAAATCTAAAAGCTTAAAAATTTACACAAGTAATAGTTCATTAAATGACCTTGATTGTAACTCTTTTCTCTAAAATGTTAACAAAGGTGAATAAAAATTCATTATTAATTAATTAATTGGAAATTACTATCCATTAATTATTATTACTAACAATTTGATTGATTAATAAACATTAGATTCTAGTGATAATAGTAAAAGAAGGAATTGACGGACGGATGGCTAATTTAATCTCCACTATAAAATTATTCATTATCTATTTTATCTTTTTATTTTTATTTCATTCTTAATAAACTTTTTATATTCTTTTGTTCTTGTTAAACGGTGATATTGCGAGGTATCTTTTCGGTTAATGCTGATTATGGGTTACTCTTGTCGGTTAATTGCAACCAATGCACAATAATTCGGCTGTCAATTAATTAGTCTACTAATTTACTTTGGTTTTTGTTTATATTTATTGGCCAATTGCAAACTCTCTTCAATTTATTTGCGAAGCAACTTAAGTATCTTGTTTAACAGCCTTACGTTTATGATTACAATAATAATACCAGTATTTTCAATTAACCATTGGACGACACTTTATTAACACTCACTAGTTAACCAAACGTTAGTAACTTTGCTTTTGCTCAATAAAGCAGATAAAACATGGCTTATTAACAAAGCTTCACAATTGTTATCCTTTGCCAAGGCAATACACTTGTTGCTTTTATCAAAGTGCTTTAAACAAAGAAAATAAAGGCAATGTTTTTTTATGATTCTATCTCGGAGTTTTATTTTTCTCTGCTTGGATCCGAAGTTATTCCCCTATTCAAGTCAATTTGATCACTACAATAAAAGCCTGTCATTGCAAAATAATTTAATCAATCAAATGTTTTCATTTGATGATAATGTATAAATTGGTTGACCCCTGGAACATAAAGTGCTGATGATTTTATCTACCCCGATCATGTATCACGTTATTAATAGGAATACTGAATTTGTTGTATTCAGCAAAAATTTTTTTTAGCTACGATTGATGAAACAAAGGAAAGATCGGGATACATACGCAAGAAATTATAAAAATATAAAATTGAAGAGGAGATCTTGGAGTATATATTTATATGTTTTTTTGTGAGCTTTTATATTTTATTATTATGTCATTTTTGACTTATGACAGCGAAATTGACGTAATAGTTTTATAACTTTGGTAATATTTCGCCAAACAACATTAGCTTATTGTAATATTCATGACAGTACTCGCTCTTTACTTGGAAAATTTTTAACAAAAGTAACAATGAGTTTGGAATAGTTTTTATAAAGATTTTTATAAAAATCATGTGACTCTGCCGAGACTGAACATTGGACCATGGCAATGAATTTATTTGATTCGAGCAAGTTTTTTCATAAAATTGATGATAGATTTTGGATAAGCAAATAGGATATGATCTATGGGATGAAGAAGGTTTTCCTGATCTAGGAGATCCATTCGTTGAAACACTTGATTATACGAATTTATATTTTTTGTCTGGAAATACGGTATGTGTCAAACCAGACAATACTTTGTTAACCAAATCTTGTCACAGCGGATGAAAGGGACACATGAGAAAATTTTATTTAAATTCCGTTGTAATAGTTATAGTAATAGTAATTGTAATAACGGATTTTTGTATTAATAATATTAATGACAAGAATGTAATTATAGTCTGCTGTGACAAGGTTTAACTGTATTGTCTTCTCAAGAGTAGATAAATTAAAATGAGAATAAAATTATACCAGCCTCGACACTTTTTCTTTTTATTATTATAAATTAAATTTCAATTACGCAAATTGATATTTTAATTGCCTATATATTTACAGACTTTTTAAGTTTTATTACTTTTAGCAGAAGCACAAGTTGATGCGCGCAAAACTATTCAACAATTTGGGTAAAAGCGGACATTTAATTTGAATGCGTATGATTCGCTATCATATTAATATCGGATAAATAAATAAATATTTAAACAGTTTTTCATTTGCAAGATCAATCCATCGTCCGATCATTAATGAAAAAAGTTATGTGGCTGTAAACACAGAATTAATATTGGCAAGTAATAATAATAATAACTGCGCTGTTCCAACTAAAGCTTCTCATCTTGAATATATTTTGCGTTACATAGAAATAAGTTATGCTAATTAATCAATTAATTACGATATTATGGTGGCTTGTTTTATTTTCGGTCAACTATTGAGGATTTAGTTTATGCGATAATAATTCGAAAATTTATATTTATTAATAGAATAAACCACTCGTTGAAAAAAATAAATATAAAAATAAATATAAAAATAAATAATCTAAAAAAAAAATTAATGCGAATACAGATTTACCCAAAAAAAAAAAAAAATCTAATGCCTTCTTACTAAGTGATAAACCTCCAGTTCTTCTATTAAATGAACTTCTTTATCATTATTTCTAAAATTCAAAGCACATTCATAAGAATAACCTTGGAAATGATAATAACAATAGGCTTCGGTGGCACTAAAATTGTACACTCGTAAATCACAAAAATTAATAGAACCTTCTTTAAACAACATATTATCCGAAACATGCTTAACAGTTGGCTTAAAACGATATATCGCATATTTAGGATTTCTGATTCTACTTATGGTTGAATTATTCATTTGATTTCCGTCGATCTTAAAAATGAAACTTTTGTCTGATTCGATCGAGTAACCTTCAAATTCTTCTTTTTCATTTAGATTCCAAGTAACTGGATTATACCCTCCGACTAATTCGTTTGTTTCTTTGAGTTTGATAATAGAAACAGTTTTTTCAACATCATAACACTTTTTTTCGAAAACTGATCTAGAAAATTCATCCCTGGTCCCAGAAAAAATCAACTTGAACTTGTATGGTAAATTGTATTGGTTATAATCTTTTCCATTTATCCAACTTGTGATTAAACATTTCATTTCTGGGGTCAATAATTTTCCTGCCCCGGTTCTTGGAGTATTCTGTGGTAATAACCTAGGTTGCCATTCATCTGTAACGTAATATTTAAGAAGCTCTTCATATATATCTTTATTAATTGCCTTTTTGTATGGCTTTATTTTGTAATAAAAATCTCTGGTAGAAATCTCGTTAAATCTTATTGATAGCACAACATCTTCCAAATCAACTTTTATTTTTGTGTAATCTTCCTTGTTCCACTCCAAAAAATTTTTGTCTTCCAAACTTTCATATTGTCCTAATCCCCATTTAATCAAGGAGCTAAAAATATCAACTTCATCCATTTCTAAATCGTCTTTGTCAATTATGGTTTTTAATAATGGTTTGTCAATTGATGCCAATTCACTAGATTTTAAAAAGATTTCTGGATTTCTATTAAAAAAACCTTGAAGCAAAGTGAATGATTGATGTTTAGATGATTCTTTGTAGATATCAATCAGATTCTGTTGAATCCACTGATCCTCTTTAACGATTAAATAGTTTTGCAAATCACCAATTAATTCGTCAATGTTCAATTCATCACACGCCACAAGGAGTTCAAAAATTTCATCTGGACTTAATTTATCCACATCGATGGTTCCATTATAAATATATCTTTTTAATGTTGATGTTTTTAAAATAAAGTTTTAGATATAATTATTTATATATAAATTTTTTTTTACTTATTACAGCCAATTAACCAACCCATAAAGCAATAAATAAAATTGTATTAAATTAAATTAATCTTACGTTAAAAGAACTCCAAATATGTTAGAAGAAATGTTTTTTTTTTCAAACATAATGATCCCATTGTCGGATCTTTTTATCCAATTATTTGATAATGCTGCTCTAAAGTATGGAGATCTTGCTTTTAAAATGGTAGAATGAGCTTTATATATTTTAACTTCTCCTTCATCGCCATCCACTCCACCACCAACTTTAATTTCTACATCGTAAAAGTCTGGAACGTTAAGCAACTCTGTAAAATCATTTAAGGCCTTGCTGATATGTTTTAGTGATAAGGCATCTTCGTATGTGGTCATGATGTTTTGAAATAAGGTATTTAAACCTTCCAAGGATAAAAATCTTTCAGACATTTTTATATAGAATAGAAAGTTTTGTTGTTGGGATGAAAAAAAAAATTTTTAACGGTGGATAAAAGTAAAGATTAACCCCAAGTTACCCTAAAAGAATTTTTTTTTATATGGTTAGATCACCTCTTAAACCAATGTTTTGGCGGAATTGTCATGTGTAACAGGAATTAGTTAATTTATTGGTTGAATTAGTAGATCAATTCTAAATTTGTATCACATGTTGATTATAAGACGAAATATATACATCTCATTATCAATATTTATTCAAAACCTCTATATATACACTATATGAGTGTTATAACAACTTTGCATTAACTAAATTATTTATTTACATGAAAATAAGAAGTTGTGATTCAAGTATAAGATCGTGTTCTTGTCATATTAATAATCAAAAATACGTTCAATTGCTTTGTTTGATCAATTATTATTTTCATTAGAGACTCTAAATACAGTCAAAGCTCATTAAATTCATAGGTTTGGCATGGTAAACAACAACTTTCGATAATGGCATCAAAATTAGGTGATGTAACATAATGTCGATCAATAATAATGATATAAAAAAAATAAACTATGGAAAATTATAGTAAATAGGTAAGCTTTTAAATTACAGAGAAATTTTTTAAATGGGCTAGAAAAAAAGACTCTCTGTAACTTTATTATGGAATACTTAAACCAGTAAAACTATAAAAAGTTTTGTTCATTTATGAAAAAAAAGAAAGTTATCACGGTTTAAACATATTAAATATGCTTGATGATCAACAGCCACAATAAATATTTGCAAAAAAGAATTAAGATTTGGATTTCGGTTAAATCTACAAATATTTTGAATTTAGTTACACGAGATATATGTGGTGTCACATATAAGTCGGTTTTGACCGTCGATCACAATTTAATAATACATACTGTAGTCGCAAAATTGAGCTGTATCATCTATAACGAAATAAGTATTTAATCAAAAAGACGGTATCCAAACAATTTTATACCATACATTCATTATATTATAGCAAAAGATTTTTTTGTCCCCTCGAGAAATCATACATTGTTGAACTATGATCCACAGCAAAAAGTAATCCTGAAAGCTATGTGCACAAAGTTTGACGGAACATACGCATAATCCCCCATTATCTATTGTTAGTGTCATGATACTTGAGAGCATTAAAGTTTTACAACATAGTGAGAGACATACCACAATTGGATTTATCCTATTTTAGCAAGATAAGTTTTTCGTTTGTTTATCAAGAATGCTCTTATCTAAAAAATTAAAATAAACAAACAAATATTTTCTTGTCTACAAAAAAAAAAAAACTTCTAATACTTTATTTATAAAAATAAAATAAGGAATGCACACAAAACATACTAATGCTGGTTTACTCCATATGTTTTTCGTATGTTTTATTTAATAAAAATAACCCTTAACAATTTCATGTAATAATGTCATTACCAAAATGACCGGGATAAAGAACTTTACCTGTTCCAAAAAAAAAACTGCTCGTGATATTGATAACCAGTAATAATAAGTACAAAAAAAAGGAGGGGTCGTGGAAAAAAGTTGGAAGCGTGGGGAATTATAAAGTGACTAAAATAAATTAAGTTTTGAATAAGTTGTAAAATTATGTTGATCGTCAACTTACAAAACTTGATCAAGTACGCTTTACCTTGAAAACGAAAATTATGTTATATACAAAAATAAGAATAGAATTCCAACAATTTTTTATATATACAAGGCTAAAATTTGGAAATTAGCGTTTATCACGCACGCTGTAATTTATTAAATCCGGCGCAGTTTTTTTTTTAATTCTAATGCAAAAATTTCACCTTTTCACAGAGATAACAAATATCATGTACTTTTCAATACTTCTAAAATATGGATTATTCGATGTCATACTTAATGAAAGCGCAAAAAATCTGAAGTTTAATGATATTATTCAACGTAACATCAATAATACTGCATGTACAACCTTACATAAACGTCAGCGTGACAATAATATACTGTATTAATATTAATTATAAACTGACAAAGAAAGAAGAAGTACACAAGTTTATTTGTTTATGCATTTATTATTGTTGTTTATAGCTTACATTGGCTGCATCCGTCAATTAAATCTTATTGATATGTATTTATATGTATGCGAACGTAATGTTCAACGAATTTTCATAGAAAATTTTTTTTTGAAAACAAATACAAAAGGACAAATATTAAACGTGAAAAATCATACGTTTTATACAATATCATAATTAAAATATTACAAAAAAATTAAATAAATGAATGAATAAATCGACGCTAACGAATATCATTTATGGTAAAATATGGGGGAGGGGAGTTGTGCATTGTAAATGATTCAAAAATTTTTTATGTAATCAATTTAAATCAATAAAATGTCACAACAAGATTAAAGTAGTTAACATAATAAAAGAAAATAAACAAATGAATAAATAACAATTTTACCAATGAATCTTCTCTGGAAAAAACTCATTAATTAATTGAACGTAATAGGGTTTGAGTTCGTCCACGTTTGGTGGACAATCTATTTTTGAGTATAAATCGTATGGGTTAAATAATTTAACCCATTCCATCATCTCGTAGTCATATTCATTCATCAGGTGTCGATACGCATCGTCCCTGTGTTGTGAGTAGAACGAATGGTACCTGATAATATAACTTGCTTGAGGGGGGAGATAATCCTTGACGACCTGGTATAAGTACTCATCATGCCCATACGACATTAAAACGTTGTCAAGCCCACAATTGGGAGAATATATACCATACAATGTGTTATACTTCTCATTGTGATGGTCCGGATTCTTCGAGAATAGATTCGAGAAAATGATTTTTGGTGAGAACGCACATCCGACAGGAAACGTATCACCGACCACATCCCATTGACCTTCTGCACCAAAGAAAAATAATAATTTTCCCAGGTCGTGAATTAACCCTAAATAACAAGTGAGAAATAAATAATTTATTTATTTATTAATTCTTTGTTGGATAAAATGAAATAAGTATACTTACCGGTTAAAATCATCCATTTGGGATGATTATCCCGTCTCAAAGCTTCGGCGGTTTGCAGGCAATGCTCAATTTGAGATAATTCTGTATCGGGATCAGAATTATCCGTCAGACTATTCAACAATTCCAACCCCTCCCATATTCCGATAAAATTTGTATTCAACTTTTCATATTTCTTACGTTGAGCAATAACAAACTCCACAGTTTGTTTTTCATGTTGTTCCTGGTAAAAATTGATCACCCTTAAAGGTGTCTTTTCCGATGTATAATCTCTGAAATTATTAGGATCTTTATTATCAGTAATCTTTTCTGATGGGGGAGGAGGAGGATAACGCCTGATTAATAAATTTTCAATATGTTCGCATATTTCAGAGAACTTTTTTGGAGAATTACGATTGTATCGTGTTAATAAATTTCTAAATGATATTTTTAGTAATAATATTAATGTTATTATTACTGTTGTTATTATTGTTATTGTTATTGTCATCATTATGTTTTAGGTTTTTGAATGGAAATGAGAGAGGAAAAAAAAAGAAAAAAAAAAAGGAAAAAAAAAAACTTTTTGATCTGAATTTATAATGGATTTTTCATTATTTAAGATCCAATTAACTTTTTGTCTCCTGTATTTTTTTTTTTTTTTTTATTGTTATTATGTTCATTACAATTAATTATTACGGTAATTTGTTATTATTTACAAATTTATTTATGGAATGATGCAAAGTTTATCTTGATTCTTATAATAATTTTTTTATCAATCTAAAAATAACATGAATTTGTGAATCATCCAGTTAACTGAATGATTTGATATTTGTTAATGAGACATAAAAGTAAATATTTCCTTGTAATTGATAACACAACATAAATAAATTTGAATAATAAAATATTTTAACTATTATATAAAAAATCCATTAAACAAATAAATAATCGTGGGAAATTTGAACGTTTAAAATTTTGCCCAAAAATAGTTAAAAAAAAATGTTAAAGAATTTCCGAACCCAGAAACACTCAATAATAATGAAAGTAAGATGACTTTTGTTAAATTATAATATGAAAATTTAAACCCATTAGTTTGACTCCATTAGATCTTGGCTAACTTTTTTTCATATAATTTAATAATGATTTTGTACAAATAAATACACACAAAAAGCACTGTATAAAAAAATGTCAATTTTGTAGATCATTTTCTATTTTTTGATGTAACATAATAAAAATATCAAGTAACTCATTCTATTACAGCATTATTATCAAGATTATTGGATTTTTAATCCATGTGTCTGATCCTTGGTTATACTAAATTCTCAAATAAAATATTAATAAATCAGCATTAAATACAGTTTATAGTATCAATATCAGAAAGAGAGAAGGGAAAAGCATGAGATACTAGATAGCTACTTTCTCAAATCTAATGTTTCTGAAGGAATAAAAGTAACAAAGATCATATTTTGAAAAAAATTATCCACAGAAAACTGTCAGCTGAAAAAACTATCGCCAATTAAATAAACTATTTATTACATTAATCAAGAAATTTCCCTAATTATGAAATTTGCGAGAAGTTCTAAAAACTTCAACATCACAAGGGATCTAATCTCAAATTATGTTTTTTTCATTGATTAGTGATAAACCGTAATTTTGGTTGAAACATCAAGTTTTTATAATGTATTATAAAATTCACCTAATAAATAATAAATACACAGTACATTATGTTTTGGAGTGTGTTCAGTGTGTAAAAATTTAATTGCACAACTAAATAAAAGAAAAAAATTGTGCTGGTAAAGTTTGATGTGCACTTATTAAGAATTTTTTGTTATTATAACAAAAAATTTCAAATTTATGAGATAATGAATGTCATCTCATTACTTTATTGATGATATGAACCATGTTCAATCCAGCAATAATACGAGTATATTAACATTCAGTACTGTACTGTATGGTCTACAAAAATAGAAATTTTTTAAAAAAGTCATACACCACCATACAGTACACAGCACCCACCAATCAAATGGACTCTGTAACATTTACCGTATTCTCTGGAATATAAGCACCACCATTTTGAACACGTTTTGGTCAACAAAACAGCATTCTTTGTCATAGATAAATTGGGTGTTTTTGCTGTGGGTAGAGTTCCGAACGGGTCGGGTCGGGTTGACCATATTTCGGGTCGGGTCATGAATTTGATTTGACCCACGGGTCACACGGGACACGCGGGTCATACGGGTTGACATGGGTCCAATATGCCGAATGACATGACCCTTGTTTTATGTCGTATTATGTGTCATATGCAATACATAACGCTTGTCTTATTATTAATTATTTTAATATTAATATTAATTATCAAAAAAAAATTTTTTTAAAAAATATTGTTGTCATTATTCTTTTATTAATTAATTATTGTCATTTTAATTCAAAATCATTAATATTTATCAATTAAAAAAAAGGGAATTGTTATTCGCACCCCCATTTTTTGTTATTTTCACCCCTCCCGTGACTAAGACAAAGATAAACCAATAAAATCATCACATTTTAAAGCCATTCATTGGTCGCTTACTACACTTAGTCACGGGAGGGGTGCGAATAACAAAAATGGGAGGTGCGAATAACAATTCTCTTAATAATTAATT